TTATTATTATTATTATTATTATTATTATTATTATTATTATTATTATTATTATTATTATTATTATTGAATGATACTTTTATTGTCAGTGTATGGATGTACCTTTTACTTACAGTAGTTTGATGTGCATAAAAGTAAATTTGCATGGAGTGGCTGTGCAACTTGAAAATCCCATCTATGCCTAAAGATTGAAAAATGCTATTATTGGTTCTCTACACAAAGGAAAAAAGTAGCAAGGATGAATGTAATTTTTTTAGGGAGATTAGTTTGTTCAACATGCTTCAGTAGTTTGAAAGTATAGAATAGGTAGCAGAGAGCCAACTGTGGAAGTACACTGTGTTGTTATGAACAGGACTACTGGTATACAAACAAGATTTTTCCTCTTCACAAACGCATGATCAAATGAGCGAACAAGAGAAAGAAAATTTAATCTATGTTGATTTAGACAAATTTATGATAAAGTGGGTAGGCTTGAATAATAGGTTGTTTTGCACATATCTGAAATCAAAGAGAGATTGCTGATGCAGTAAGATTGATATATGAGGGGAATAAAGTTGGCATGAGAATAAATGTAATGTTTGCTGAATGATCCAACAAGTAAAAGCAGACAGTAAAACAATATATCCTTGGTTTTTAATGTATTTATTGATAAATGTATAAGGAATATTTGTAATAAGAGCAATATGTTACAGATGTAGTAATGTGTCTGCATTTTTATATGCAGATGATCTGTTACTGGCTAAGATCAAATTAATTTGCAGTAAATATTAGTCAGATTGTAGTTGCAATAAGGATTATGAATCTGAACATTTGTGTATCAAAGACCAAATAAAATAGAATGAATGATTGCACAGTAAAAAAGTTAGAGCCAATAGATAAATTTATGAATCTTAGTAAAATGTTCACTAAGACTGGAGAAAAAGATGGAGAAATTTGAGGTTATAAATGCCAGTAGAAAGATAATGGATAATATGTAGTTGAAGAATTAATATTTGTGACCAAAAGCTAAAATGGCTATGTATAAGAACATGTTTCTGCCCATTTGGGTATATGAATGTAGGAGGTGGATATGTTAGCAGAACTATAAATATAAATTGGATGTAATGGGAATGGGTTGCTTAAGATGTGTGACTGATAAAAGAAGAGATCTGATCAAGAATGAATAAGTGCTGAATGAGAAGTTTGAAAGAACAAAATATGATGTATGAAGTGGTGTATTGATGTAGTAGAAACAGGAATGCTCTGCAAGGATAGAAACATATGGAGTGATATAGAAAACGCTGCTGGGATGAACTAAATTCAGATTTTCTTTTCTTTTTCTTAGCTTGTGCCTTTAATTTGATTTACTATTACTTACTCTTTTTCTATAGTTTGCATAACATTGCTTATCTTAAATTATGTGCTGGGTCTCTGTGGGTGCAATAGTGTTTAAACTAGGATTTTATATCCTTAGTACTATCCAGCTCTGGAAATCAACAAAGAGGTGAGAAATCAGATTTCATTCGAAGGTCAGAGTCCTCTCAGACTTGTAGGATGGCACAAAAGAACCATAGATTAGATTAGGTTAGATTAGATTAGATTAGATTAGAAATAATTTTGCCATGGAACCCCATTCATGGAATGCTCTACTATTGGTAGTAGTATTTTTACTCAAACCATTGTTGATTGCTGATGGCAGTTCAACGTATGTTAGACATCATTATAATTCCTGCATTGATTTCACTGCTTCATGTTATAACTGGGGTGGGGGGGAAACAACCCAAACAAACAACAAAACAAAACAAAACCCTAGGCAGGGTTCAAAGGTAATGCATGTTTCATTATTTTCCTACACATAGCTAATAAAAGCCACATGCTACAATAATGTACAGTTCCAAAGGAATATAAAGCCATATTGCCATATGATTTTTGTTCATTATTTTTTTAATTCAGTAACCAGATGCATACAATCAGACCTATGCGGAGGTGCATCTTCAACATTTTTAGCATCATTTATCAAAGTGGTAATTTGTTAGTCCAATCAGAAAGCGGGAGTGTTTCTGCACACAATCAAATCAAAAGAAAACTAAAAGAGAATACAGCTGTAAATAGATAAAAAGAATGTAAATATATGTAAATATAAATGTATACACACACACAGATTTGTGTACACAGATGTACACATATACATACAGTGAGGTGTCCTTTCACATATTCTGGCCAGGGGTGGGATTCAACTGGTGTTACTACCGGTTTGATGATTATGTTTTGCGCGCGTGTAAAATAACCTTAGGCTGTGCTGCCCGGACAGCTGAAAAGCGCTGCGTGTAGGTGTGCAGCGTTTGAAAAGCCACTTTTTTCCTACTTTTTCAACCTCAGCTGTGCTGCGCAAAGCAGTTGAGGTTGAAAAAGCAGGAAATAAAGGACAGGTAAGAGCCCGGGCAGGTGGGTAGGCCAAACAGCAGCAACACAGAACCGGTTTGGTGTCTGCTGCTCTTCAGACCTACCGGTTCTATAGAACCGGGCAGAACCAGTAGCAACCCACCCCTGATTCTGGCCATATGCCATTTATAATAAGGCTTATTTCTGAGCAAAGTTGTCTGGATTGAACTAAAAATTTCAAGTTTTAAATTCTGTGCAGTTGGAATGAATGAACCACTCTTAGACTTTACATGTGGAAGAAAAAGCAAAACTGCTGAACAGCAGAGCCAAGAAGATGAATTCCTAAAGATCAGAAAGAATACAAGAAGAAAAATCAGAGTCATATTAGTTGATAATACTCTACTACAAAGAACATAAATGAATTTGTTCCAGCTGTCCTATCTATTTGTGGAGTCTGCACTCTGCCAGAAATACTGATGAGGGAATCGATGCAAATTAGTCCAGTGATAATTTCTGCGCATCCATTGTGATATATTACGATGAACAGCTACAGTCCATCAATATGGACTTGAGTCTAATTTTAGGATTTGATCCTAGAAAGGAAACTCATTCTATACTTGAATACTTTGGAATTTGAAAAATATATTTTAATATATTTAAAGCAATTTTAGGTAGAATTGAATAGTATGAGAAAAAATGTGGGGAAAATGTGATGGGGTGATACAAAACATTCAGAGGGGAGGGGAGAGAGAGCTTTTTAATTCTAGGGATGTGAGAGAATGACTGGCCCAAGATCACACCTACGGTGGGCCTGGAGCTTATAGTCTTCCAGTAAGGCTTGATGCCTTA